GAGAGGGTGGAATATAACAATTCAAACACTTCGACAAATCTTCACATACCCGGACCCAAAACCTCTGGACAGGYRGRCAGARCCAGAVTGCATGGATATAATTGTCTGGCACATTGCCTGTGCAATGGGAGCAGTTATTAGATGAAGTAAAACCCATCTTGAACATTCACTGGCCTGTACAATGTGCTCTAAAGAGGACTTTATATTGTATTAATAGTAGATTAGAATTTCTAGTTGTTTTAAACGTTTCCAAGCATATTTTAGACCTGATGTTCTAGTATAAAAGTCTCTCTCAGACATGCTTCTACAGCTAGACAGAGGTTGAAACAGCCAGCACCGCATGTTCGTTTGTTACTGCTTTGATCATTAGCCAATATTAGCAATAATACTAACAACATTTTAATATGGTAATCAGAGAGCTGACTACCTTGCAAAATCTGTCAGTCAGGCCCCCTTCAAAGGACCAGAACCTGTTGTAGGTATCTCAATAACAGTCTGTAGGACTGCCCTACAGGCCTGGATTAGACGTCAACTCAGTCCACTGGAGGGAGCTGACGGCACGGGAACTGATAAATGTCCCAAATCAGGTTTGGGAAAGCTCTCATCGCCTTGACAAGGCAAACACTGGTTGGAGTTCTAACTGGGCACCACCTGCTCAACTGCCGAAAAACAGTAATGGGACTCCATGACAATGGTCTATGTTATGCTTGTAGCATTGAATTAGAGACCTCTTTGCACTACTTAGGCCACTGCCTGGCTCTGAGCAGTCAAAGGAAAAGAATTATTAGGGACCTCGAGAAGCCTTAGAACAGTCAGCGTTTATAACCATTCCTTCATCTGAGGAACACAAAGATTTGAATAAAGCTCAGTGTCTTTAATGGGCCCATTTACGAGGCTCCTGCTCATATGGGTTCATTATCCATCCCCACTCACCGTAAACCATAACTCTAAACCTAACCCACCCTCAATTCACACCATCATCCTAAAGTAACCCCTAACCCAAAAACAGCATTTGAAATTATGGGGCCTGAGCTTTGTGCTCCATAAGGAGCAGTGAGTTCAAATAAGGTAGTATATTCTGAAAAAAATGTGCTTTCCAAGGTAAAACACACACACACACACACGCACGCACGCACGCACGCACGCACGCACGCACGCACGCACGCACACACACACACACACAAGTTTGCACAGCTATCCAATTGGGGACATTCCATTGACTTCCATTACATTTCTACAGCCTAACCCAGACCACGAACCCTAAGGCTAACCTCACAGGTACCTACCTGACCCTAAAACTAACCTCACAGGTACCGACCTGACCCTAAAACTAACCTCACAGGTACCTACCTGACCCTAAAACTAACCTAAACTCAATTCACACCTTGGTCCTGAACCAAACCCCCAACCCACCAATGGCATTTAAACCAAATGGGGACTCGACTTTTGTCCCCAAATGCACCAGTTGTCTCCAAAGTTGCGCATTTTGTCTTAAAATTGCCCCCAAATGTCACCAGAAACAAACCCCCTCCACACACACACACACACACACACACACACACACAAAACAAAGCATACTCTCCATTTATTTTATGGACCATCCATCTGCTTTCTGCTTGGCAGAAATTGTTCTGGACCCCTAATTTCTTGGCCACATTTCAACAAATTGTTATCCTAATTCTAACAGGATATCCTAAAAACTACTGACTTGGTTGAGAATAAAATTACTATTAGGTTTTTGAGGTTGGAATGCATGAATTCAGTTTTACTTACAGTGTTTCCCAAGTTCTTCAGCCCCATAAGACCCTGGGCACTCTTTGAATTCTGAAAAATAAAACAAACCTTCAACCAAACTAATAACACTGAAGACTGTGTGGCACATAGTTGAATCTTCACCCAAAGATTCTTCTCTACATTTTAAAAGCACAAAAATTGACCCACTTAGAGAGAAAAGTTCTGACCCACAGACCCAGATCATTACAGCGAGAGTTCGTCCAGAAAGGAGGAATCAATACAACCGCTGATTTGAAGGCATTCGACATCCTAGCCAAAAGACAATTTATCACACAACCGATGTGCTGGAACAACTTATTTAGTTAAAAAAAGAATGGTACCTGCAGCAATGGAGCATTTTGGTGTTTGTTTTACCAGAAGTGAGCTTAATAAAATGAAACCATTGGTGCCTCAGTGGTAATGACATGTCTGAGTAGTCTTATTTTATTCAGACTACTCTGCTTCTGACTATCATTCCTTTCTGAAAGAGTACATCTGATAACAAGAACAGACAACTTAATCTTACCGTGAAGTCCCTGCTTGAGAAGTCAGACAGTTCATTATTACGCTTTGCCCATGTGGAAGAGCTAACTCCTTTGCTGCTGCTGAAGGCTTCCTGGGTGGAGCTCCGTGAATGGGCCTCCTGAGTAGAGCTTCGTAACATGCCTGAGTAGCCTGAGCGGGAGCCAAAGTCGTTCGAGTCAGAGTCTTTAGATCGACCATGGTAGCCTCGCAGGGCACTTATAGAAGAGGATGGAGTGGAGGAAGAGGACAAAGTATTGTTGAGGCCCAGAGAGGACAGATCTCTGCTCAAGTCACTCTGTGAAACAGATTTTCGACGATTGAGCGAGACGCTGGAGGCCGATGGTGTAGAATAGAGGTAGATGGACTGGGCTGAGGATGAAGAGTAGGAACTATAGCCAGAATAGGTAGATCCCCCATTGAGCCCTGACCCTCTGTAGCTCTTGACAGGGGTTCTGCTAAGGCTCTCGCTCCGGCGGCTGCTGCTGCTCCCGAGGATGTCAGTGCGTGGGATTGTTCGACCCCGGTCACGATCAGGGTCTGAAGAGTTGCTGTAGTTGTGGCTATGAATGCCAGAACCGCTCAGATAGCTGGAGGATGAGTAACCTGAAGAAGAGATGGAGGATGCTGGTGACTTGTAGGAGGATAGCCTGTCCCGATCGGTGTACGAGCTAAGGCCTGGTGTCAGGGAGGAGCTGTAGGAGTTGTAGTGGCTGGTGTAGGAGGAGCCAGCATAACGCTTGGCAGTGGAGGAGATTCGAGACATGCTGCTGAATTCTCAGTCTCAGGGAGGGAGAGCCGCAGAAAGACTGCATCAACTGTACACACAGTAAAGAGAAACAAGCATTGAAATAGTCAATCAGCATCAGTAAAATCAATTCTTTCACATAAGCAACAAACCAGGCCAATAATCTATGGAGCTAAATCAGTATCAGCTTCCATTGACATTGAAAAAAAGATTTGACATTGAAAAATAAAACATTGTAAAATAAAACAGTGACATTGAAACTTGGTTCAAGTATCGCTCCTCAGCCACAGGTAAGAGTCTTGTTTTTCTGATTATTATCAGTATTAGCTGTAGAAACTGACAAGTGATTCATTTTTACCTTTAAAATAAGCCAATTGGTGACATATTTGGAAGACGTGTGTTAGACAGCTTAGCATGCTGCTAGCTACCCTTAGCAAAAAGTAGTAAATGCAAGTATACAGTACATTAAGTATACTAATTTTAAACTAAAAATAAAAGTGTATACTTCAAGTTTACTTTTTATCTACTTATCTGAGATATACATATAAGTTTAAGTATACTTAGTCTATACTAATGTTTAAACTTTTGGCCATGTAAAATTTAGTAGTACACTGAAAGTACTTTTTTCACTCAGACTGGTTTATTTGTAGTATATTTTAGATTACTTTCGGTATACTTCTGAGTATACTTTCATAAACTTCTTGTGGGCCATTTTAGTCCTAGAAGTATACGTACTTGTTAGTACCTACTAGTATACTTATATCAGTGTGCATGGTAAATAAAAATACACTAAGGGAAAGACACATACTGTATATAATTTAGTATACTTAATGACATGTACTTAAATTATAATTCTTTTTGGTAAGTTTATAAACTTAAAAAGACATAACAGTATACTTAAAGTATACTTTTTACTTAACAAAAAGAAGTCCCAATTTAGTATGAACAATTATTAAATCAGTATACTTTCTACAAATACATGGTGTGTAGTATACTTGATAGACTTAAACTTATACACAAGTATACTTATTAAAATAAACTTCAAGTATACTAGTTATTGCTAAGGGATAGCTTTATTGTATCACCAACACAGTCATTTAAGCACAGTCAAGACTAAAAAGCAGACAGAAAAAAATTGTCTGTTAATGCCTTGCAAAGTAACCACTGTCCAGTTATATATAGTTACTTTTACACTTAGATTTAAGATGGTTGCAGCTGTTGGCTAAATGTGAATACTAATGTCAAGCCGATAGTTAAAGCACCATTACACATAATTTCAGCTCTGTCGGCCATGCCCATCTTAATCAAACCAGATATGAAATATACCATGTAAAATCTGAGTACAGATTCATTTGTTAAAATACTTTATATTTAGATCATACTTGTGCACCATTCATAAAATCTAAACTTTTAAAATTTACTGACATAGTGGATTTACAAACAGTCAATCTTGTTTAAAAGCCAAACATTATTTTTTAACGGGAAACCTTCAAAAGCTTTTCTTAAAAATGTAAGGACTTTATAATTTAAGGGAAAATGAGAATTTAAAATTTTAAAATACAGAACCACAAGAAAAAAGCTTTTGTAAATCAGTACGTGGGGTGAAGCTGTGGAATGGTTTAAGCATGGAGATCAAGCAATGTCCAAACATAAAACAGTTTAAAATGTCTTTTAAGATGATCAATACTTCATGTCAATATGAAAAATAAATAGTTATTTCTGTTATTATCAATGTTATTGTTTTGTTTAAAGAAGTTGTCGATTTTTTTCTGTATTATGGTTTATTGATGTAGAAAAATGTTTAGATGTTAAAAATTATGGATGCTTGCTTTAAATGGCATTAAAAATTAATGCTTTGTACAAATTATAGATATGAATATAGAAAATATAAAAGAATGTTATAACCAAGTTATTATGAATTGTAATTATTGGATAATAATAATAATAATAATAATAATAATAATAATAATACATTTTATGTGGAGGCCCCTTTCATGGCACTCAAGGACACCGTACAATGTAAATACAATGGAATAAAACAAAAAGAATAAAGCAAATAATAAAATAACAATAAGACATCATCCATCCATCCATCCATAAAGTTTATTATATCAACAAGATCAGAGTAAACGCCTGCTGAGCTGCAGTCAGGCCAGCCGTCTCCTTAAATGATGAGGACTGATATGAAAGTTATCTGTAATGCCCACTTTGTTGGCATTTTTCAAATTTGCCTTGGGGCAGGTTATGCTTTCAAGGGGTGGGTTAGTTACACTTTAAATATTCTGCCTGCTCTCCAGTCTGTTGAAGACCTCTATGAAGGTAATTTTGTTTTTATTATTCAATCAAACAAAAAAGCAGTTTCAATCAAAAAACTTATTTTAAATCAAA